AGCTCTCAATTGTTATTCTATTCTGCTCCGCTTATTGTGATATTCAGTCTGATTTTAACACCTTTCTGTGCCTTTGTTTAGATCGATGCTATTATCTAAAGCTTATAGAACTCATGCTTTTTAAAAAGTACTCTCACATCCTCTTTTTTGGAAAGAGAACGAGGAATATGTACCACCATCTCATATTTGACTATTGAGCGGTAGTAATGCCTAATTTTCTTGTCAAATGCGTATACACTACTACTGTTCAATCATCAGTTGATAGAAGATTTTCGATGGTTAGATGTGTGTTAAAATCAGTGAAGTTTGAAGTTCTTTCAAAAAACAACTCCCGTTTAATTAAAGAAAAAGGAGAATTGTAAGATTTTCTTTGTTGAGTTGATATCACCATAAAGATACCTCTTAAGGTAAACAACGACGGATATAATGTACATTAAGTATGGTAAAATTTTAAGAATTTGGACGTACCACAATTAGACTGGTCGCGAATACGACCAATCACTGACTTGCACTCTGGCCACTTCTCACGAGCATCAAAACTGGAATAGAGGCATTTCCGCTGCTGTTATCTTTACTAAAAACTTAGGAAAGAAACTAGTGACCGTGGGAAAGTCTAGAAGTTTTACTGTAAAAATTACACAAAAATACTGAACTATGAGTGAATGGAAGCGTCTCGTTTGTGTTATACTTCCACTTATTCATAATGTTATGGTTTTTTAGTTTGCGCGTTTGTAATCTCTTTAAGAACGTGCAGAACCTGCACTAGAGATTTATCAAGTGAACTCAAAACTTGGTTCCACTTTGCACATCTAAATTCTGACCGAAGTTCAATCTAAAGGCTATCAGATTTTGATGTATTCTAAGATTAAGAATAATTATTGAAAACTTCGATGCGATGTTAACCTACAAGTGTGTGAAATTCTTTTCAAAACTTTATTTTACCTTTCGGGAATCGGATCATCGCCAAGGTCAGATTTATACTTCAGCAAGTCGTCTTCCTCCACATAGTTCAAGTGCATAATACGAGCGTTGACAAATTCCTCAGCATCAGATCGATATTTAACCTAAAAATTAGTTTTATTGATAACTTTCCATGCTGTAATTCTTAAGAGATTGTATACTTCGTAAAATGTTTGATGAGTATTGACATAGTCGACAAGCGCTTCTCCGGTCAATTGTTCGCCCTCGTTTTCCGTCGGCTCTGCGAAAAACTCCTCTATAATCTTCTAGTGTAATGATTTCTTTCATTAATTTACGCATCAATTATAATCTACACCAGCTGTTGGCGTTCTGTTTTAGCCTGCGTACTCTGTCCAAAAGGACCTGACATAACCACATCACCAAAAAATAAATTCAACAACGAGTGAATTTTTCCAAAGTTCAGTCTATTATAAACACACTCCAGAAAAACGTC